CATTTTTGAGTGAATAAAGGTTTTTAAAATATGCATATTGTAATATATTTCTGGAGAGATAGTTCCTCAGAAAATGAGAAAATTAGAGACCCATAACTGTCTTAGTCCATTTTGTCACTGAGTGACTGAGGTTGGGTGCTTTATAGAGAAAAGAGGTTTATTTTGGGCCACAGTTCTGAATACTAGGTGAAGAAACCGTGTATGACAGGGAGCTCAAGCCATATGTTAGTGGAAACACACCAGCAGGGTCACAAGTGGAAGAGATCATATAGTGAGAGATGAAGGGAATATAAGGCTGGACCAAGCAAAGAGATCTTGAACTTTATTGTCATGGTAACAGGTAACACCTGTGGCTCCATGTCTGTCTGTCTATGGTTGCTTTGTTTTGTTTTGTTTTGTTGTTTTGTTTGATACAGGGTTTTTCTGTGTATCAGCCCTGGTTGTCCTGGAACTTACTCTCAGATCAGGCTGCCCTTTAATTCAGAGATCTGCCTACCTCTGCCTCTCAAGAGCTGTGACTAGCTGGGCGTTGGTGGTGCACACCTTTAATCCCAGCACTTGGGAGGCAGAGGCAGGTGGACCTCTGTGAGTTCGAGGCCAGCCTGGTCTCCAGAGTGAGTGCCAGGATAGCCTCCAAAGCTTACACAGAGAAACCCTGTCTCAAAAAACAAAAACGAAACAAAAGCACAAAACAAAACAAAAAACCAAAGAGCTGTGATTAAAAGTGTGCACCACCATATCCAGCCCAACCCAGTCTCTTGAGATTTAATCTACTCCCTAGACACAGGTATTGATTCGTTTTAGGGGGAGTGACCTCAAATTAGTTTCGCTAGCTAACAGTACCATTACATTGAGATGAAGTTATCTGCATAGAACATTTTGGGGCAAACTGGATGTAAACAATGGCAGTAGCTGTAGCCAACAGCATAATTCTCAGAAGCACCATGTTAAGTGAAAATATAAGGGCTTGGGGCTGGGTGGGTGGCCCACTGGTAAAGTGTTTGCATAGCATGCTTGAAGCCTTTTGTTTGCTCATCTCCAGGACTGCTTTGCCTTCAAAGATCTAGAGGACTACTTACATTTGTTTCTGAAGTCCATGTATGAGTTCCTGAGGGCTGCTGTAATAAGTTGCTACAAACTGCTTGGCTTTTGTTGTATGGCTTTTCTGAGGAGCTGTGTAAAAACAACTATATACTCCAGATCTGAACTACAAAGGTTAGAAAGACTCTAACCAGTCCAGGTTGGCGGAATACATGAGTTTATTAGGATTACTTTCAGAAGCATGAGTGGTTGATAGGCAGCTACACTATTGAAAGATTTGTGGCTCACTCACTAAGCTGCTATTTCATATGGCTCTTGGTCTACAGAGAACTAATGCAAACTTGGGTTCAGAATTCTATCTACTGTTAAAGCAGTAGAGGTGACTACAAGCCCGGGTACTGTAAGGTAGACGATATCTAACTCTGTGTGTTATCTGTGTGTTTTATGTTATCTGCATCCTCCTTGTCAGTATCAGAGATTCTGCTAATCTCTGCAGTGACTTCTCAGCTGTGGGAAAAGTTGCTTGTTGTGCCCTACAGTTGGGTACATGGAACAGTTAGAAATGATGGCTTGCTACAAGATGGAATTACTTTGGTTAGACTCTGAAGAATTAGTCCCAATATATTACCAGAGTGTTCAGATCAGAGCATCTGGGTCCTGGCATCCACAACAAGTAAGGATCAGCAACAGATGGCCAATACTCCAATTAAAGAGTTCAAGTCTAGTCAAATCAAGGCGTCCTACACATTGTTGACTCATCATTGTCTCTGCTCCAGTGTCTCCTGCAAGGTTGTCAGACAAGTTGCGCTAGGAGACAAATTCCCTTCTGATTGGCTTCATACTTGAGCTGATTCTTTCTGATATTCCAAGAACAACCCTGAGTTCTTGGTGACCATTTTTTTCAATAGTTCCAATAAACCACTGTTCAATAGTTTGTTAGGCAAGAGAAGGGCACACATGTCTCTAAAGTACCTTTGTTACCATCAGGATAAATACAACTGTAAAGAGTAGATGTTTCTTGGGTCAGGGAGATGAGTCAATGATGAACTACTTGCTATACAAGCATGAGAACTTAGTTCAGATTTCTAGCACCCATGTCAAACGTGGATGTTACGGCACATGCCTGTAATTCCAGCAGTAGGGAGTACAGTCAGGCAGATCTCTAGAGCTTATTAGCCAGCCATATATCCAAATTTGTGAACCCAAGGTTCTGTGAGAGATCCTGTCTCAAAAACTAAGCTGAAGAACAATGAAGGAAGCCACTTAATACATTTGGCTTACACACACACACACACACGCACACGCACACGCACACGCACACGCACACGCACACGCACACGCACACACACACACGTAGAAATATGTTCCTATAGTTTGAAATCCAACTGTCCAAAATCACAATGTTGGCAGTTCTGCACTGTATCTGAAGGTTCTAGCAAAAGTTTCTTTTCTTCCTAGGTTTTGTAGTTGTCAGAAATCTTTAGTCTTCTTTGGCTTGAGGCTGCATCGGCCTCTAACATCACTTGGCTTTTTTCTCTCTACCTCTTTGTATTATTCCACTTCTGACTTTCTCTACAAAGGCTGGCTGAATTTAAAGCCATCCTCAGCCAGTAAAGTTCATCATACCTTCTGTATATTCACAAAGATCCTGTTGCCCAATAGGAACATCTTTTACTGGTTGGAAGGTGGCTAGGTCTTCTGAGAAGACATACTACAACCTATGACAAGTTTTTCAGGGAACAGATGCTGAGGTTGAGATGTGCTTGTGGGGGATCTATTATGGAGTACTCTAGGGACAATATCTGTAAGAGAGTAAGGGAAGAAAGGTTAAGCTGAAAAAGATGAGTTGAGACCATCTAAAATAGAGGCCTCAGGCAAAGTCACAAGAGTGCTGAAGCTGGGAATGCTTTTCGGAGATGTCCATACATAAAGTAAATGGTCTAGGCTTTTGTATGTCTGCACCTACTTGTCATTGTAGGTGGAGATTTCTGTCCCGCCAGCAGCTCCCAAATACACAGAGGCTTATATTAAAAATAAGTGCTTGGCCAATAGCTTAGGCTTATTACTAACTAGCTCTTACAACTTAAATTAACTCATTTCTATTTATCTATTTGCTTTCATGTGGCTTGTGGCTTTACCTGTCCTCCAGCATGTCTTGCTCCCTCTGTGACTCCTGGTGACTCATCTAACTCCACTCTTCTTCCCATCATTCTCTGGCTCTCCAGCCTAACTTTATCCTGTTCAGCTATTGACCAGTAAGCTACTTAATTAAACCAATCACAGTTACAGATCTTCACAGTGTACAAAAGGATTGTTCCACAGCAAGCCATGGAATGCAAGTTCCCATTTCGGAGGAGGTGAAGTAGCTCCCCTGGCTAAGAATAATGCTCGCAGAGGGACACATCTGGGAGCCTTCAGCAACTAGCATTCTGACTAATGGGAGAGTAAATGTCATAGTTCTGTAAGGAACATCTGAACTGATGCCCCAGCATGCACTATATGATGCTTATGAGATAGAGCTTTAAAATAGACAAACTAAAAAGTATTATAAATCTGGATATCTATATGTCTAGACATCTAAATATATGTATATATGTAATTGTGACAAAAGTGTGTTTAGGACAGTTCTTGGGTGGTTAGCTTGCCGTTTTCTATTACATTTGGCTTTTTAACCATTTTTTTTTTGTCTGTTTGAGACAGAGTTCCACTGTCTAGCTCAAGATGTCCCCAAACTCTGGATCCTCCTGTCTCAACCAACTAAGTGTGGTGCAAACACTACTACAGCCATTTATAACTAATTTGTATTTTATATAGTCCTTTTATATGCATCAAATATATTTACCAAGAAAATAAAGAGGAAAAAATAAATAGGCAAAAGCAATAGAAATCAAGTTAACAATGTTCTTTGGGAGGGGAAAAATGTCCATGAGCAAAAATAGCAAATGTTAACGGGGAGGTGGTGGTGGTGGTGGTGGTGGTGGTGCATGCCTTTATTGAAGGCAGATCGTTGTAAGTTTAAAGCCAGCCTGGGCTACAAATCCAGTTCCAGGACATCCAGGGCTACACAGAGAACCCCTGTCTTGAAAAACAAAACAAAACAAAAAATAGCAAATGCTGCATCCATTGCAAACACAAGCATTCAGGTGAAGAAAAACACATGAAGGCACTCCTACATATTCTTTCCTTTGTGTGTGTTTGTGGAACTGTCCTAATATTTACAGGTTTTTGTCTGGCAGCAAGACATTGCTAAAACATCCAGTTCGCTTCCCCTTTACCTAGTTGGAGCTAACTTAACTATGGCTCTGAATTTTTTTTAAAGGTGAAGTTACCCTGGGTAAGATAGCTTGGAGCGATTACTAGATCTGGTGATACAATGTTGTAAAGCAGTTATTGGGGCAAGACTGATGTGTCAAGATATGCCAGCTACCAACAAGAAAGGGTGATAAAAGCCTTGGCACAACTTTCTGTTTTTTATAAGTCTGTGTAAGCCTGTGAATTGAAAAACTAGGGGAGCTATTAAAGTTGTATTTTTATTTATTGATTGCACTCACTTATTTGTCTTGGGTGTGCGTGTGTATCCCGTGGCATGTTTGTGGAGGTCAGAGGACAACTGAGGGAGTTGACTCTTATCGTGTGGGTCCCAGGGATCTAGTTCAGGTCATTAGGCTTGGTGCCATGCACCTTTCCCCTCTGAGCCATCTCACTATCCTTAAAGTTGTGTATTTCAATGCCTTGTTTCAAATTAGCTGATCTCAGTTTTATTTGAAAACTATGTTTATAGAAGTGACCATGAATGTGAGCTCAAGTTCTGTTTGAGCAGAAAGAGCCCTGGAGTTTTTAGGTGCAGAATGTCTTGTTGGAAGGGTGATCTGGCTGTGATAACTGTCACTCACTGAGTGCCAGGATGGATTCAGTTGATCTAGCTGGCCAGGCTAATGTCCTCTTTTCCTTCCCTCCAGAAGCTGTGGGCTTGGCAGAAGAAGACGAGTTTCTCTGATGAAGGAGGTCTATCTTTAGTCAAAAGTGTGTGAATAGCTGCCCATCCCTGCTGGATCTTCAAGGAGCTCTCAAGATGGTGTGTTTCTAGAGCTAGACTATGGGTGGCACTTAGGGGTCCTTGTAGAAGAAGCTCTACTAAAGAGCTGGCTTCTTTGTGTGAAGAGTGGGGCTATTTGTGTTTGGATGTAGTAATGCACAGGCAAATGCTTGACACGAGAACTCAATATTCTTTACTTATGGTGACCTTACTGCTTAAGGGAATAAAAGAGTAACTTCTAATCAATTTCTAGTGCTAAAGATTCTATTTATTTTAAATTGGTTTTTCATCATAGAACTTTTTCCCCCCTAACCCACAACTTGACAACTGGATGTAGAATGAAATCAAAGCTCAATGTGTCTGTCCTAGGGGATGTAGCTCAGTTGACAGAGTGCTTGTCCTATTAGATGAAAAGTTCGCTTCCTAGCACAGAGGAAATGGCTCTGTTGGTACCCATCTAGGATTCCAGCATTCTGGAGCTGGAGGCAGGAGATAACCAGAAGCTCAAGTGTAGAGAGTTTGGAGCCACCTGGGCTACATGAAACCCCGCCAAAAACAAAAAAGCAAGCACAGTGTTTTGAATTATGATAAAATGAAGATCAGATAGTACAGAGGATGGCAGGACTGTTAAGAAGAGGTAATGAAGGATCTGGCCCTTGTTTAAAGGTTCAACTGTGATGTTATTTTTAAAAACTCCTGACCTCTGTGACATTTTCCCTAATTATGAAATTTTCCTTTGTACAATGAACTACTCCTGATTTTGCTGTGAAAATTGGATATGAATTTGTAGATATTTGTATCAAGATGTAGAAAAACTGCCAATGAACTTCAATGGAAATCTGTGATCCTTGTGTATTACTACCTTACAGTGCTATTAATTCACATTTTTTACATTAAAGACTATTCCCAGCTTTAAATTTTTAAATAAATGATCCTGAAGTTCAGTGTGCTTGTGTCTGATTCTCTACATGTCTTCTTCTCTAACTTTGTCCCTGTCTGTCTTTCTGTTTCTTGAAAAGTTATTACTATGTAGCCTTGGCTGGCCTGGAACTCATTTAGCTATGTAATCAAGGCTGGCCTGGAACTCACAGAGACCCACCTATCTCTGCCCCTGGAATGATGGGATTAAAGTCATGTACCACTATACCCAGCTTCTTATATATGTTTCTTCTTAACAGAAATTTTACAGCAACAATATCTGTTTGCCAAGACAGCTTCAGAAAGACAAATTATTTGCCCTGTAGGATGAAAACACTTGAGATTTGCATTAGTTGGCAGTAGCAGAGCTAAGAAATCTCTCATGGTATATTTTGGTCATAGAGTGGACAAGACTTGTTGAATAACTGGATATGAGGATTTAATGGAAAGGAAGTTGACCCCTGGGTTTTACATCCCAGAAAAATCATGAGTAGTGGTCCAGTTAAGGAGATAGAAAGAAAAAGTAAAGATGTGTCTTGGTTACTGTTCTATTGCAGTGAAGAGACACCATGACCAAGCAACTTATAAAAGAAAGCATTTAATTGGTGCTTGCTTACTGTTTCAGAGGGCCAGCTACGAACTACATAGCAGGGAGCCGGGCAGAAGGCAGGTAGGCATGGCTCTGGAGAAGCAGCTGAGAACTGACATCTGATACACAAGCAAGAGGCAGAGAGAATTAAGTTGGATTTGCATGCATTTTTGAAACCTCAAAATCCACCCTCAGTGATACACCTCCTCCCAGGACACACCTCCCAATCCTTCCCAAACTGTCCTCTACTGGAGATAGGGGGTATTCAAAAGGGGTATATGAGGCAGGTATGAAGTTCTATCTTTAAATGTATTAAGCTTGAGTTGGGCATGTAGTTTGGTTGATACAGTGCTTGACTAGTGTGTATAAAGCTCTGCATTCAATCCCGAGCACTGAATTTAAAAAAGAAAAGAAAAGACATGGTGACATACAACTTTGGGAGTTAGAGGAGGAGGTTCAGGAGTTCAAGGCTATCCCTGTCCACATCGTTCCAGACCAGCTTGAATACTTAACATCCTGCCTCAAAACAAAAACAAATAATAAATAAATGTATTAAGCTTGAGTAGAGATATTGAGTGTGCACCTGAACCTACAAGCAGAAGGAAGATGATGCATCTGAACAGAAAATCAATTTGTGTATGTGTCTGCCCCCTCCCCATGTCCTGAAATTTTGATGAAGTACTTCTATGCTCTACTAGACATCATGCTTTTATGCCCCTTTAAAGCTTTCTTTCAGGGACAGGGGAGATGGTTCAGTAGGTAAAATGCTTGCTGCTCAAGCTTAAGGACTTGGGTTTACATCCCTAGCACCATGTGACAGCCAGGTGCAGTGGCTTGCACTGGGGAGACAGTGACAGCACAGCTTATTTAAATAGGTGAGTACGAGGTCCTCTGAGAGACCCATCTCAATAAAATAAGGTGGAGATAGGTGAAGACACCCTATGTTGGGCAGGTATTGTGGCACACACCTTAAATTCCAGCACTCAGGAGGCATGCACGGGTAGGTAGATATCTGGGCTGGAAATCAGTTTGTTTTGCTTAGTTATGGCTAGGACAACCATAGCTAGGTGGAGAGACTGTCTCCAGACCAATCCAAAACCAAACCAAACTAAGAATTAAAATGATCCCCCATGTCAACCTTTGGCCTCCATGCATGGGTGTAAACTCTTATATACAAAGGCATATATCACCTGTTACCAGACTTAGGGCTACAGGTGGTGGTGCATCAACAAGTGAGGTAAAGCCACTTGTCCTTGGTAAGTCAATTAAAGCAGCCAAATTAATTGTGAAGAACAGGAGAGGGAGAGGGGAGAGAAACAGAGACACAGACACAGACACAGAGAGATTTATTCAATGTGGCCATATTGGAAAGAGGTACAAAGAGAATTGGCAGCCCCCACCAAGGCCGTGTTTCAGGTTCTTTAGTGCAGTTATGGTTTAAGAAGGGGGCCAGAGTTACACACATCTAAGCAGTCCCAGTCAAAGTGTGGTCCAGCCCACCACTGACCCCCTCATTGGCTCTCCTGTATGGTTTTCTGGGAGTTTGCCCAGGTTTTCTTTTAGCCCAGCATGAAATGCCTGGGAGGGGGGGGTTCCTGTTTTGAGCCCATTGTTTTAATAGTCTTCATAGTCAAAGCACACAAATGTCTCTTTAGAGTATCTTCAGTCCTGCCAAACCGAACAAACACACAATACTCTTTTCACTCCATCATCCTCCCACAAAACTAGAAATAAAGTGATTCTGGTTCTTCAACGTTCACTTAAAGACTAATCATTTCCCAAGAGAATTGCTCCACAAGCTGCGTTCTTGTAGCACATTTTTCATTCATATTACAACTGTTAAGGCTACTATGTAGTTGAGTCGTCTCAAATTCCGTTTTGCCAACCGTGAGTCTAAAGCGCAATGTGGGAGCTAAGGCAGGCATTCAGAAACTAGATCGAAAGCGTGCGGCGCAGACAGAGCGAACTGCAACTCTTCATCCGAGAAGCTCAGGGAATAAACAGGGGCCTGAAAGCGTTTAACACAAACCTAAGCACCGCTCCACGCCGACTTCTACTACAACTTCCTTTTCCGGTTCCATTCCTTCCTGAAATGCGAGCTAAACCAGGTTAGGTTTCACTGGCCAATCAACGCGCAGTCTTTCGTAGACGTGAGGGCCGCCTCTGCCAATGAGAGATCCCTGCGCTTCAGTGGCGCGATGTGAAGCTTGTGGGCGGGGCCAAATATTGAATGGCAAGTGAGCGATCCACTGTCTTCATAAGGAAATGCGGCGCTGGGCTCGCAGGAGGGACGTATGGGCGGGGCTATGAAACGGAGACTAACCAATGGAAGTCTCAGTACGCTCAAAGGCAGGGGAAGTCACCAATGGCAACATGGATTTGACGCTGTGTGCGGGTCTTGGGGGCCAAAGCTCTCAAAAAGCGGCGTTTGTCAGCTGCGTCCATGTCGTCACGGCTGGCACCGCCTCCTCTCTCCATTCATTCCTTTTTTTTTTTCTTCACCATTCACGGTGGTAGTGAGGCCTAGTCCCCAGCCATGGAGAGCGCTCTCCCGGCGGCCGGCTTCCTGTACTGGGTGGGCGCGAGCACTGTTGCCTACCTGACCCTGCGTGTCTCCTACTCACTCTTCAGAGCCTTCCAGGTGTGGTGCTTGGGCAACGAGTCCTGGGTCGGCCCGCTGCTCGGAGAATGGGCAGGTGAGTGGACAGCCCCAGCCCC